GGGGCGGAGGCGGTAAAGGCGGCGGTGAAGGAGGAGGAGGCGGCGGCCGGGCCGCGCGATTCTCCTCTCGCGCACGGGCGATGCCTCGCCCGCCGGCAAGCACCCCTCCCACCACCCCCGCCGCCACCTTGCCGGCCCCCCACGCCGCCGCCGACGCCGCATGGCGCGCGTGCGGCGCATTGGCGATGGCTGCCTTTCGAGCGGCGGCGGCCGCCTCCGAGGCGGCCTGCGCGGCCGCGCGGCTCGCCTGGGCCGCCGTCGGCCCTGCGTTGCGGATGCCGTCGAGGCTCGCCTGGCGCAAGCCTCGCAGCGGGTTCATCACCAGCACGCGGTCGCGGTTCACCTGCCAGCTCACAAACGCCATCCAGTAGATGCTGCCCGTCATTAACAAACTTGTCGTTCTCGAGTCTGTCAGGAACGAGCCCAGCCGCTGCACCCATCGCCGGCTCGTTCGGCGCCGCTCGCGCCGCGCGAGGACCGATCGGTTCGATGGTGGTCCTCGCTGAGCGTCGGCCCGGTGCTGCTCCCTCACGAACCGGCACAAACGCGGCGTCGTCAGCGCAGCCACCGCTGCCGCCGTCGCCGCATCGGCGTTTACGCCGGCGACGGTTCTCCTCGGCGCCAGCAGCGGTGCAGCCGGGGCACAGGTGGCGTAGAAGGAGAGGGCGGGCAGCGCCATGCGCTCTCTCGTCACGTTGTCGTCGTCGTCACAGTGCGCCGCGCTCTCGGCAGCAGCGGGATCACTGCGCTGGCAGGTGCAGTTTGCTCTCAAGAAAATAAATTTATCCGTCGACGAGAGAGAGAAAAAAGTCTGTCCCCTCGGTCTAATCCTGAGTCCAACCTTTGGTCTGTCGTGGCTGCCGGCTGGAGCAACGACTGCCACCTCGACCATGCCGACCGGACGGTTCGTCGGCGGGAAGCCTGCCATGCCGAAAGCTCTGTCGGCCGAGGAACTGCAGGAAATGGACAACGAGGACCGGTTGCTGTACGTGCGCATACACGAGAAGGGGGACGAGGCGGAGCGTGCGCGCTTTGTCATCTATGCACGTGCGCGTCTGCGCACGGACCACCGCAGCGACCAGGAGCGACGGCACATTGTGAAACGCTACCGCGCCTGCCACAGGGAAGGCCTGCCGCAGCCCGCCTCTGCGGCAGCTAGTCAGTTTGGCCTTGACTCGCGCACACAGCTGGGATCAGCAACCATGTCGGCCTCGGAGGAGCTTCAGTCGGACCGCGAGCTCGCCGCCGTTCGGCAGCGCGGCAAGGCAATGCAGCACGCCTCGGAGGAGCTTCAGGCGGACCGCGTGGCTGTGCTGGCCGCCGTGCGGCAGCGCGGCAGGGCACTGGAGCACGCCTCGGAGGAGCTTCAGTCGGACCGCGAGGTGGTGCTCGCCGCTGTGCAGCAGGACGGCTGGGCGCTACAGTGCGCCTCGGAGGAGCTGAGGGCGGACCGAGAGGTGGTGCTGGCCGCTGTGCAGCAGGACAGCTGGGCGCTGGAGTGCGCCTCGGAGGAGCTGAGGGCGGACCGAGAGGTGGTGCTGGCCGCCGTGAAGCAGGACGGCACGGTGCTGGAGTATGCCTCGGAGGCGTTGCGGGGAGATCGAGAGGTTGTGCTGGCCGCCGTGAAGCAGAACGGCTATGCGCTGCATAACGCTTCGATGGAGCTGCGGGCGGACCGCGAGTTCATGCTGGCCGCTGTGCCGCAGGACGGCGATGCGCTGGAGTTTGCCTCGAAGGAGCTGAGGGCGGACCGCGAGTTCATGCTGGCCGCCGTGCAGCAGAATAGCTGTGCGCTGGTCTACGCTTCGGAGCAGCTTCAGGCGGACCGCGAGTTCATGATGGCCGCCGTGCAACAGCGCGGTTTGGCGCTGCGGTACGCCTCGGAGGAGCTGAGGGCGGACCGAGAGGTCGTGCTGGCCGCCGTGCAGCAGAGCGGCTGGGCGCTACAGTGCGCCTCGAAGGAGCTGAGGGCGGACCGAGAGTTCATGCTGGCCGCCGTGCAGCAGAATAGCTGTGCGCTGGTGTACGCTTCGGAGCAGCTTCAGGCGGACCGCGAGTTCATGATGGCCGCCGTGCAACAGCGCGGTTTGGCGCTGCGGTACGCCTCGCAGGAGCTGAGGGCGGACCGAGAGGTCGTGCTGGCCGCCGTGCAGCAGAGCGGCGATGCACTGCTGTTCGCCTCGCAGGAGTTGCGGGCGGACCGCGAGGTCGTGCTGGCCGCCGTGCGGCAGAGCGGCTGGGCGTTGCAGCAGAACGGCAGGGCACTGTGGGACGCTTCGGTGGAGCTGAGAGCGGACCGCGAGGTCGTGCTGGCCGCCGTGCAGCAGAACGGCAGGGCGCTGGTGCATGCCTCGGAGGCGTTGCAGGCAGACCGCGAGGTGGTGCTGGCCGCCGTGCAGCAGGACGGCGATGCGCTTGTATTTGCCGCCGAAGAGCTTCGCACCGACCCAGAGGTACTCGCTGCGATCGAGCAGAAGGCGGCAGCGAGGGCGGCAGCGGAGGAGGCGGCCGCAGAGGAGGTCGGCCGGGCGGCGGCGGGGCCAGACAGCTCGGCGGACGAGGGCAGCAGCGGGAGCTCAGGTGCTGAGGCCGCTGGTGGGCTTGCGGCCGCTGCCGACGTTCCAGTCAAGGTTGAGGCCGCCTCCTCCCTCCCGCCTCGCCCTCCCCTCATGGACGACGTGCGCTTCTACTTCACCTACTACGACAAGCACCTGAGCGCCCCCTTTGACGCGAAGGACTTTGACCGCCTCCACAAGTTCTACCTGCGCCCTCGCCACAAGATGGACCGCCGCGGCGGCAAGAAGACCATCCCGTGCCGCATGTGCCGCAACCGCCATGGCTCGCTGTGGCGCATCCTCGAGGACCTCCGCAAGCGAGCGCGGCGGGACCTCGGCGACGAGAAGCTGGCCAGGCCGGCGCTGTACGTCTACCTCCTCGCCTACGAGGAGTACCTCAAGGAGAGCGCCCTCCGCCACCACCCCGCCTTTTGGGTCTCTGCGAACGAGGACCTGACGGGCGACGCCGAGGAGACGATCGAGATTGCCGACTCGGAGGATGAGGCGGCCGTCCCTAGCGACGCGGTCGAGTTGGGCGGTTCGGGAAGCGACGACGACGACGCGGACCCGCCAGCGCCTCCGGCGGTGCGCGTCAAGACGGAGCAGTAGACCGATAGCCACGCGCCGGTGTTGTATCTTAGTTAGTGACCTAAGGCACACAGACACCCACTACCCACGCCGCGTGCATGAATACGTGTGTATGTACTTTTGATTTCGGGCCCGGGGTTGTGCGTTTATGTGAAGCATGGAACGTGCGCGCATTTCATCCCGTCACGCTAGGAGGCGCCCTCCACGCGCTGAGCCCGCATCTCCTGTGCTACCATGCCAACCTTCGCCTCGCTCCTCAACGTCCAGTTCGTCGGCCGGTGGTACGCCGGCCCATCCAACGTACCGGCCGCTGCGTGGGGTCCCGCCGCGTTCCACGTGCGCTTCTCGTGCCCATCCGCTTGCGCCGCTGAGGTCAGCCTCGACGATGACTCGGGAAGCCTCGTCTACACCTGTGGCGGGACGGCGATGGCCGAGACGCGCTTCACCTCATTCGAGATGCGCTCGCTCAGCGTCAGCGCGAGCGCGGGCACACCCTTCCTCTGGTGCGGCCGCAGCTCTGAGGGCTCGTACGGCGAGAGCAGAGTGCAGTCCATCGGCGTTTTCGGAGGCGAGCTGGTTCCGCTCGCGCTCCCGAGCAACCCTCTGCGCTTGGAGGTGCTTGGCGACAGCATCACAGCCGGCTACCAGGCCCTCGCGGAATATGGGCAGACGTTCAGCCTCGAGCTCGAGGACGTCTTCTCCTCCTACGAGCGGCGCATGGCTGACGCGTGGGGCACCTGGGACTGGCGCGTCGTGGCTCGCTCGGGCATCCCCGTCTCGCTGGTCGAGGAGGACCCTGCCGGCTCCGGCATCATCAGCGGGCAGTACGACTGCCGTGTCCACTGGTGGACCGGCGGTGCGGGCTCCTGCCCGACCGCGTGGGATCACGCCCAGTGGCACCGCCGCCTCCCTCGCCACCGCCTGCGGGCTGGGGGCGGCGGCGGCACTCTGCGGGTGGCGGGCGAGCTGCTGGCTGGCCGGCGGCGCGTCTCTCGACTCAAATTATGGGCCGCCTTTCGGGCGTGCGGCCAGGGGCCCGTGTGGCGCGAGGAGAGGGCGGCGCGCTCGGCGCGCTGGCGGCGGTGAAGCCTCTCAGAGTGGGCGCTGGCTGGCCGAGGGCGTCGGGCGGGTGTGGGGCGGCACTCGGGCCGCCGGACGGGCCGTGGTGGCCCGTGTGGCGTTCGTGAGGGACTGTTTGGGCGCCCCGGCAGCCTCCCGGCCGGCGTGACCAGGGCCGGTTTGGCAGCGGTTTGGGCTGTGTGTGGGCCGGTCGCGGTACGGGATATAGTGCTTGTTTATGGTACCACTCACCACTCCCGGCCGACGGGGCCTCGCGGGGCGTCCTCGTTTGCAAATAAAGGTCTCTGCCATCGCTCAGAGTCCCAAACCATGTGATCCTCCGCGCCTCCGCGCCCGAGTAGTCTGCCAGATGCGACGTCGTCGGGGACGAGGGGATGCTCAACCGCCCCACGCCACGCCGCTTGCGGCGGGGTCCTATTCCCAGCTCGCGGGGCCACTTCTTATTTTATTCTCTCTCTCCGGATGATGGAGTGCTGGGGGGGGCGACACGAGGCGGTGCATCGCGTCCTCCGGCTGGTTCATCCCGCGCTCCGCCCGCCAGCGGAGCAACGTGGCGCGTTCTGCCGACGACACGTCGGCGCAGAGGAGCAGGCGCAGCTGGGCGTACGCCAGGTCGCCGGGCGGGACGGACGGGACGTCCATCATCCGCGACATGGCCTCGCCGGGCTCGCGCTCGCTACGAGGGGGGCTCTCACGCCTGACTCCACGTCGTCGGTGTCCTCTCCGTGCGGGGCTGGCGGCGACGGCGGTGGCGGAGGCGGCGGCGGCGGCATGGGCAACGCCCACCCTCGTTCGGGCATCTCCTGCCTGGGCGGCGGCGGCAGCGGCATCCACGTCCGCGGCGGCGGCGGTGGCTCCCACCCCGGGGGCGGCGAGAAGGCTGGCATCGGTGGCGGCAGTGGTCGGGGCGGCGGCGGCAGTTGCACCGACGGCTGCGCTGGGGGCGGCGGCGGCGGGAGCGCGTTTAGGAACGCGCCAGCAACGGCCGTGGTGGGCGGCGGCGGCGGTCGCGCCGTTGGCTGTGCCGGGGGCGGCGGTGGCGTGAGCGCGCTGAGGAACGCGCCGGCTTCCGCAGCGGCAGTGCGCTGCCTGCGCCGGGGTGCGTGCTGCACGCGCCCGCCGCCCTCGTCGTACATCACGTCACAGTCGTCGCTGCTCTCGCCGGAGCTCGGGAACGCGTCGAAGGAGGCGAACGGCGTGGCGTCGTGCTGTTCCTCGGGTGGCTCGGACGCGCCCGGCCCGAGGCTCTGCAGGAAGGCCTCGTTGTCATCTCGCCTGTCGTGCCGGCGCCGGCGCTGGGTCGCTGAGCCCCGACGACGCCCGCTGGCCTGTTGCTGCTCGCGTCGCGCCTGCGCCGCCTCCCGCTCCTCCATCTCGGCGATGGCCCACGGCTCCACCCCGCCGTCGAGCTCCGCGTCGTCCTCCGTCTCGGCGTGGCTGCTGCTGGAGCCGGCCTCGCCGCCTGTGGGAGCGGCCGCGTGGTCCGGTGGGTTGCGGACAAGGATAGCCGCGCCACGCGCGGCCACGTGCACCTCCCAAGCCAACCGCCGCCCCCGCAGCACGACGGTGAGGCGAGCCTCGCAAACGACGCCGAGGGGGCAAAGGTAGCTCTCGCCGGGTGTGCCTCAGCGGCCGCGGGCGAGCAGGGCATGTGCGCGCCACGCGCCGCCGCTCGAGCCGGATCGTACGAGTCTCCCTCCCGCGGCTCGTTGCAGGAGAGCGGGTCGATCCGATGATGCTCGGTGAAGATGCTCGGTTGGCTCTCGCCAAATGTTTGTCCGACTCGACGTACTGCCCCGGGCGTCGGGCCGTGGCGGCGACGGCAGGCGTGCTCCAGCGCCGCCTCGTGCGCACGCACGCGCAGCGGCGGCGCCTCTGCACCACCCGAGTCGCCGCCCGGCCGAGCGAGGAGCAGAGAGACGACGAGTGACATGCTGATTCGGCAATCAAGAAAGTTTTTTTTTTATTCTCTCCGGATGATGACCGCCGGGCTCTCTGCCCTCTTCCAGCCGTGGCCGGCACCCCTCCAAACCGCAGCGCTGGCATCGTTGAACTCATTCACGGAAGAGTGGGCCAATCCGGCGGAGCCGCCGGGAGATCATGTCTCCCGTCCAGCGCCGATCGATGCAGGCGACATCAGCTCGCTGACGCGGCGGGCCGCCGGCGACATTGACTGGCGCACGTTCACTCCGCTCGCTCGCATCGACGCTCTCATTGACGCCATCGGTCCTCGAGGCATGGATCGGGTCGCCGACCTCCTCACCAATGGCACCGGGTCCGCCTCCCTCGACCTGCGCTGGGTGCCACCGCTCTCACTCCCGCTGCTCCCCGGCCTCCGGCTGCGCGTCGAGTTTTCGAGCGCGATCGTCGCCGGCCTCGACACCCTCTCCGACATCGCGCTGCTGCGGCCGAACGCCTCGGACTCGACGCGGCTCAGCTCCTCCCTCGCCGCTCGCCGCGCCGACGCGACTCTGCGCCTTTGCCTGCGGGCGGTGCGAGAGACGACGCGAGAGGAGCCAACATGTTTGGAGATGACGCGAGGTGACGCGAGATGGCGCGAGATGGCGCGAGATGGCGCGAGACGACGCGAGAATGGCCTAGATGGCACGCACGAGCAGCTTGAGCGCACACGCAACCACGCAGCAAACCCGCCCCCTCTCCCTCTCGCGCCGCCACCTGCAGGAGCGGAGCGAGGCGCGGCCGGCCCCGAGCAAGAGAGAGCGGCAGCGCGCCGCTTCGTGGGCCTCCGCCCCGCCGCTCCCGCTCACGCTCCACGCGACACTCGGTCTGCTCTCTCTGCTCTCTCTCCCGCCAGCGCTCGCGGTGCGGACGAGCGTCTCTTCACGCCGCACGCTGTGAACATCAGGCCAGCTCTCCGGCTCAATCAGCGGCCGACTCGCCGTCGCCGCCGCCGCCGCAGGAGGGCTAACCATCTCTCAGCTGGCAGGCCCGCGCGGCAGCCAAAGGCACGTCCGTGACACGCCCGTGACACGTCCATGACACGTCCCTCTCTCGGCTGGCAGGCCCGCGCGGCAGCCAAAGGCACGTCCGTGACACGCCCGTGACACGTCCATGACACGTCCCTCTCTCGGCTGGCAGGCCCGCGCGGCACGCCCGCCGCGTGCCTCGCCCGCGCCGTCGGGAACGAAACCTCGCTGCTCTCGGCGGGCGCCTCCGCGCGCCTCCTCGCGCTGCGTGTGGAGGGCAGCGGCGCCTCCGCTCCGCTGCCCGGCTGCCCGAGAAACGTCTCCCTGCCTCGCTCCGCCGCCGCCGCCCTCGTCTCCTTCGCCGACCGCCGGCTGCGCGCGGCGCTGGCAGAGGCGCGAGGCGAGGCGTGTGCTCACGCCGCCTCGGCCACGCCAATCTCCCGCAGTCTCCCGGAGAATCTCCCGCAATCTCCCCGCGGGCGCGGCGGCACCCGCGGCCCCCAGCGGTCTCCCACAATCTCCCGCAATCTCCCGGCTGCCGGCCACACACCTTCCTCCGACTCTTCCGTGAGCGTTCTCGGAAACTTCCCGACAGGCGCGCGCGCCGCCTCTCCAGAAGAGAACAAGAGTTGCATCTCCCAGAAGAGAACAAGAGTTGCACGCCTCGAGAGGAGCCGAGAGGAGCCGAGGCCAGCCGAGAGTAGGCGGGCAGCTCCTCCCCAAAGAGCAAGACTTGGCCCAGAGGAAGCAACAGCAGCCCCTCCCGTCGCCTTGACGCAGGCGTGCGCCCCGCCGCAGCCGGCCACGCCGCGGCTGCTCGACCTCACCCGCTCGCGCCTGCTGGCCGCCGTGAGGAGGGCGGCGGACGCGTTTGGCGCGGACGGCGTGAATCGGGCGGTGGAGGCGCTCGGCCTCTCCAACGCCTCCGTCGGAGGGCGTCTGCTCTCGCTGCGGCTGAGCCAGCGGGTGGCCCTAGAATTCGAGAAATACAAGCAGTTGCTAGAAGCGGGGGGAGGCGTATTCTTGTCGTCCAGCCGGCGCTCGAGAGGGGGCGGGACGTCGCTGCATACGGCCGTATTCAGCTGTGCTCACTGCCCGCGTAGCCCCTCGTACTCACGAGGGGAAGACAGAGCACAGGACCGTACTCCCGCCCTTGGGGCTGGTCTCTTCAGCACGTAGGCTCCCGGCGCTCCACATCTCCCCATATCTCCCCACACCTCCCCTCATCTCCACCACATCTCCCCACACCTCCCCACACCTCCCCACACCTCCCCATATCTCCCCACACCTCCCCACACCTCCCCTCATCTCCCCTCATCTCCCCACACCTCCCCTCATCTCCCCTCATCTCCCCACACCTCCCCACACCTCCCCACACCTCCCCACACCTCCCCTCATCTCCCCACACCTCCCCACACCTCCCCACATCTCCCCACACCACCCCACACCTCCCCCACACCTCCCCCGCGCAGGCCGGTGGCGCTGCGGCTCGACGTGTCCGACCTGCGCCTCTCCGGCCTCGACACCACCTTCGGCCTCGACCTCCTCCGGCCGACTGCCCCCCACCGCCTCGAGAGCGCCGTCGGCCTCGGCGGCGGCGGCGGCCGAGGCGGCGACCAGCCGGCGCCGCCCCCCCCCCCCCCTCCCCCCTCTCGTGGCCACCCTCCCTCGAACTGCCAAGGACTGCCCGGGCCCCGCGTCCGCGACTGCTCGGCCTGCGCCCCCAGGCGCCCCTCTCGCTCGAGGCGACCATCTCCCCCCATCTCCCCATATCTCCCCGTATCTCAGGCGCCCCTCTCGCTCGAGGCGACGCTCTCGCTGCAGGGCGCGTCCGTCCCTCTCTGCCGAGATGACCCGAGATGACCCGAGATGACCCGAGATGACCCGAGATGACCCGAGATGACCCGAGATGACCCGAGGGGACCCGAGGGGACCCGAGATGACCCGAGGGGACCCGAGGGGACCCGAGATGACCCGAGATGACCCGAGATGACCCGAGATGACCCGAGGGGGCCCGAGAGGACCCGAGATGGCCCGAGGGGGCCCGAGAGGACCCGAGATGGCCCGAGATGGCCCGAGATGATCCGAGATGACCCGAGATGACCCGAGATGACCCGAGGGGACCCGAGATGACCCGAGATGACCCGAGGGGACCCGAGATGACCCGAGATGACCCGAGGGGACCCGAGATGACCCGAGATGACCCGAGATGGCCCGAGATGGCCCGAGATGACCCGAGATGACCCGAGATGACCCAAGATGACCCGAGATGACCCGAGATGACCTCGAGATGACCCGATATGACCCGAGACGACCCGAGATGGCCCGAGGGGGCCCGAGATTGCCCTAGGTGACCTGAGGTGACCCGAGATGACTCAAGATGACTCAAGATGACTTAGGATGACCCGCGGCTAGGTCGTCCCTTTCGCGTGCGGCTCGCCCTCTCCTCCGCCACCCTCCACGCGCCCGCCGCCGCCGAGCACGACGGGAGGTGTGCGCGACGCCGCCGGCTCTCAGCCGCCGCAGCTGTGTGAGCAGGCCGTCGCCACGGTCGAGTACGACGGGGGCAGCGTGGGCGCCTTGCCCCTGCGCAACCTCTCCCACGCCGCCGCCTGCCTGCTCGGCGTCGCGCCGCTGCGCGCCGTGGCCCTCGACCCGCACGCAACCTTTCTGGGCGTCGGCGGCGGCGCGGGCGGCGGCGAGATGCCGGTCGAGGTCGCGGCAGTGGCCGCAACCTCCCGCAATCTCCCGCAATCTCCCCTCAGGCGAGATGACGGTCGAGGTCGCGGCAGTGGCCGCAACCTCCCGCAACCTCCCGCAATCTCCCCTCAGGCGAGATGACGGTCGAGGTCGCGGCAGTGGGCGGCCCAGCCGGGCGCGGGCCTGCTCCCTGGGTTGGCGCCGCCGACACGGAACCCTCTTTCGCGGCGTGGCCGCGCCCAGCCCTGCTTCGCGCGCCGCCACTCACGCCTCGGCTTGTGCGCAGGCGTCGCTCCTCGCGCACACCTCGCCCGGCTTGGTCTCGATGCCCAAGTCCCTAGAAGCGGAACACGTCTCCATATGCATGTACATGTACCCTAAGGTTCTCCGAGACCTCGCGAGCGGGCCGGTATTCACACCTCGGCAGTGTGGTTTGGGCAGGGGTGGGCAGTGTGGGTTTCACACCCGGGGCAGGTAGGGGATCATTACTCCAACTGGCGCTCGAGAGACACTCTCGAGAGGACACGCACTCCGCTGCACTCGACAGCAGTCGGCTCTCACTGTAGTGAGCGTCGGGCTGGTGGTTCGACACCGAGTTTGAAATGTCCGTTTCTCTGCGCTTCTCTTCACACTGTCTCCACTGCACTCGTGTCGCTCGTCTCCACACGCGCTCTGAACCCCCCGCACGAGGCCGTACTCCCCGCCCCGAGGCTGGTGTGATGATGGCGTAGGCTGCCCATATCTCCCCATATCTCCCCATATCTCCCGCCCCGAGGCTGGTGTCATCAGCACGTAGGCTCGAGATATGGGGAGATATGGGGGGAGCGAGGGAGGAGACATGGGGAGATGTAGGGAGACGAGGCTGGTGTCTTGTTCACGTAGGCTCAACTCCGCCCTCTCCGCGGCTCTCTCCTCGGCGAGGTCCTGCGATCCGCCTCGCCGTCCTCGTCCGCCGCCTCCGCCGCCGGCCTCCCCGCCGCCGCCGGCCTCGCCGCCGCCGCCGGCCTCGCCGCCGCCGCCGGCCTCGCCGCCGCCGCCGCCTCCCCCAACCTTGGCGACGCGGGTCGAGGTTGGTGGCGAGTGGGCGGCGGCGGCGGCGATCGCCCTCGCGGCTGCCTCCGCCGCCGCGGGTTGCGTGTGCGGGCGCGGCGAGGGCGGGGGAGGAGGCGGGTGAGGAGGCGGGGGAGGAGGCGGAAAGGGCGGGGGAGGAGGCGGGGGAGGCGGAGGAGGCGGAGGAGGCGGGGGAAGAGGTGGAGGAGGCTTGGGAGGAGGTGGGGTAAGAGGCCGAGGAGGAAGCGGGGGAAAGAGCCGGGGGAAGAAGCCTGGGAAGCCGGGCGAAG